TCTTGTAGCAAGCTATCAAATATGGTGCATTTCTCGGCTTTTAATAAAATGCTATACGTCGCCAGGTGTTTCATCAGATTCGAGGTGTTACCTCCTTTGACAGCATCACAGTATCAGCTTAAAGCACTTGTTGCAGCTGCTGAGTTTGCATCTTTTGCTGTGAAGTACAGCCAGACTTTGACCGCTTTGCCTTGGGCATTTTTAATTTGTAGCTCTGCTCTAAAAGAACATATGTACCCGAGCCCGCCTACTACGCTTGCAAAGGTAAAATGATTGGCTAGAATTCAAAGTGTATGACATCTCAGAGAAAATAAAGCACCGAAACGTGCGCTGCTTTTCGGTCTGGTTACTATCGTTTATGTCAGAAATACCGGTACCCATCCCTACACCTGACCCAGAGTGGGCACTCCACCCTTTTCCAGCTGAGGACCATGACCTCAGATTTGGAGGTGCTGATTCTCATCACCACTGCTTCACACTTGACTGCGACCGATTCCAGTGCAAGTTGGAGTCCTTCACCCGATGAAGCCAACAGAACCACATCATCTACGATTCTAAGACCACCCAAGTGGAAGCCTTCTGCCACTTGGCTATACCAAAAATTCTGTCCATAAAAATTATGAACAGAATCTGTGACAAACAGCAACCCTGGTGGAGTCCATCACCCACTGGAAACAAGTCCAACTTATTGCCGGCTATGCAGACCAAGCTCCTGCAACAGTTATATAAGGATCGAATGGCCTGTATCAACAGGCCAGACAACCCATACTTGAAGCACCTCCCATAGGATACTCAGGGGGACACGTTTGAATGCCTTCTCCAAGTCCACAAAACACATGTAGACTGGTTGGGCAAACTCTGATGCATCCTCAAGCATCCTCAAGAGAACAAGGAGCTGGTCCAGTGTTCCACAACCAGGATGAAAACCACACTGTTCCTCCTGCATCCGAGGTTCGACTAACAGATGGACTCTACTACTTTCATATGTATGAGTCAAAAATAGGTCCTTTTTTTCCCTGCTGCTACACAAGACAAAGACTGAACTGGGGTCATGAATAAATAATTTTGTTCAATTGTGGCGAAAAAAGGTTCTGAAATGAGTGCAGTTCAGGCTTCTCAAGACAAAGCAGAGCTACCTGCCGATTCTGCCGTGCAGGACTAAAGGTTGGTAACTTCTAACCCTATGTCCTCCTGCTCTAGTATTTATAATGTTACATTAAAAATAACTCGGCTCTTTGCATCGTAAACATGCTGGTGGTCACCGTTCATACATTTCTTCTTCTTTTGGCTGCTCCCTTTACTTCCTGCCTGGTATCTCCATAGTCAACACCATTTCTACAATACATCTATTATCCCTCCTCTAAAAATATCCAAACTATCTTAGCCTTGCCTCTCTAACTTTGTCTTCAGCATTGTTATCATTTATCTTTCAGTGCCATAGAGCTGCCTTGAAAACATGCAGTGGAGCAATTCATGGATATTTTTCTTCAATAAAAATACAGAGAGAACAGCATTTTTTTCTTTTACAATATCTTCAGGCTGTTTGAGTACAGTGAGCTCATTGTTGTGTTCAAGAAACCACATTGAGATGATCTGAGCTTTGTGACATGGTGCTTCATCCGTCAGAAGATGAGTGCACTGTACTAATAAAGGGATGAACACGATAGGAATATTCAGGTAGATTGTGGTGTTGAAAAGATACTCAGCTGGTACTTAAGGGCCCACAGTGTGCCCAGAACATATCTCAACACCCTGACACAACGCCGCTTGATAAAAGGCAGGATAGAGCCACGTTTTCACGTCCTTTACGCCAAATTCTGACCCTACCATCTGAATGTTGGAGCAGACCAGGTGAAGTTTTTGCAATCATCTGGTGTCTAATTCAGGAGAGTTCTTAACTGACAGGAATGGCACTTGGTGTGGTCTTCTGCTGCATGTCTACATGCCTAAATGCACTGAGTTCTGCCTTGTGATTGGCCGATTAGATATTTGCATTAAGGGGCAGTTGAACAGGTGTGCAAAACATCTGATAAAACCCTACATTGTCTGAAAGCATAATTGCCTTTTTTTATAAAGCAGGAGTGAACATGTTTGACCTGTTTTTTAAAACCAAAAGTTATTTTTGTCTTGTCCCATTAGTTTATCAAGAAGTACTCCACAAATATAAAAAAAAGTATTTCTTTAAAGGCTTCTTCCTCGACCTGCATTTGCAGTCCATGACAGGGGTTATTGACCATGAACTTCCTTGTGGTGCAAAGTCCAGGTAATAAATAAATAAATGCAAAAAGGCTGTGCAGTGCAATTTGGCGCAGATATAATTATATCAACGCTGCCAAAGCGTTTGCTTCCGTGTACTCTGAACATGTCCTGCTTTTTTCAAAATGCCTCGACACAGCCTGTTTAACAGGATGCCACAGCACATTTGTTGAAATCAGGGCGTGCGCTACACTACAAGAAAACTCTCCAATCCAGTCTATTCATTTCAGTGAGAAAGTGAGACAAAAAACAAACTGCAGCAACTTTATCCTGCTTTTATTCACTTCATCAGAGCATATAAAAAACTTTCCATTACAAACACTGATCCTTGAGAACTTTAAGTTCTGTCATGCTTGAAAAATAAGGAATGCATACATCTGCAAAAAGGAAAAGGAGTGGGGTGGCTGAGGTGGGCGGTGATATCCAGCTATGATGACAATGCTCTTGTCCAAAAAAGCAAACCTTTTCTAAGGCAAACAAGTAAGCTCTTTTCTGTATCTCCATGACTCATGTGTAAGCTGAGTGGTGTGGTTGTGAGTGGTACTATTTTGCCCAAGCAGAAGTGCAAAACAGAGGTGGCCATGGAAACTGTCGGCATCCAATGGGAGATGAGGATATGGGTGTGGCCTGACTGACAAGTCATTCTGCCCCGCTCAAGTCCTGTACCTTGGTCAATTAATAACTTTCTTCGCGCCCATTCTTCTGCAGGAAGAGGGAGAGAACGAGGATTAAGTAGACGTTTCTAGAAAGAGATAAGACTGTCATGTGCTGAAAAGACTCAGAATGAGGAAGCTGTGTATATGGCACACTTAAAAAATGCCCACAACGTAAAGAAAAGCCATTTTACCTACAGTTGTTTAATCTTTTTTCACATTAGTTTGAGTCTAAACGATTTATCTCCAGTTAGTGTTTTCAATTTGATATCCAAATCCTGCAATGGTTCCAAGTTCCTGGTGCATTTCACTTGAATCCCTCTGGGAAGTTTTTGGCACGCCAGCTTCCTAACAGATGTCATTTCACTGAGAGTCACGTTAATCTGGGCGGCAAATGCCACTTTCTCCTTTCACTCTTTGTCACTGAACAGGCTGGCTGACCTCTGTTTGTTTTTGTACACCTGCCAAATAGAGGTGGCCACCCAAGGTGCCTGAGCACATACTTTTAAGCTAGTTTGCGTAGAGCTGGAAGAGAAGACGAAACCCCAGGGAAGGGTTCCCTAAATGAAGATCACACACATATCACCAGAGTAGGAGGAGCAGAGCAGTCTTCTAATTTAAGCACACTGATCACAAGAGTGGCCTGATTATTAATGGTTTCCATGGAGCAAACACAAACAGATAGAAATACAAAACACAGCAGCCTCGTAGTCACAGATCTGACGCACGGCTGACATCATCCGTAGGTGTGTGACTGGCTGGAGCGCGTCCTTAACCAAACTGCTGCACCTGTAGAAGCTCAGCGTCCTCATCACCCCTATATTTGTGGTCATCAGAGCATGCTGGACAGATGCACACATGTGCACTCTGAACTCTTAAAAAAACACAGCTGTGTTTATTCCTTTTATTCCAGCTGCCTCCCAAAGAACGAGCTTGTTTTATGTTTATTATTTATTTATGGTTTTTTCCCCTTTGTTTTCAGTGGGTGCAATTACTGTGTGAGATGCTGTGAGGCTTTTCTTTTCTTTTTTTTTGAGCTAAACTTGCAAAGCAACACCGAATAAACAGTGAAATTGCAACAAAGAAATAGTTTTGAAAAAGGTTAAAGGACAGTTTTGGCCTGCCACCATAAAAATCCTACATTTACATACTTTGTGACAACTGTCATACTGCCACACTGTAAGAGCACTTCTAGAGAAGTAACACAGAATAAAATTATGAGCAACTTGCATAAAAAAGTAAATAAACGTGATTGCTCCGTATTCACTGGAATGCATTCTCGAGCATAAACCATGCTTAACGTGTAAACATTAGCCACATATATGGAAAAAAGCTTTTCCCTTTGACACAGTGCTAATAATGGCTGCCTCACATTATATTACGTTCATATTTTTCTCTTGGGATTACAGGTTTGACACATGCTCTACCCAACAGGTACAACAGGTTTTCTCTCGTGATCCTGAGAGCTTAAACAATGAAATAATTTTCAGTTACCTCTTTCTGTTTTCACCTGTGATCTTTTGAGAGTGCTTCTTCTAGCAGGTGTCATTCTGTATATGACACAGTAACTCAAATGACCAGTGTAGTTAACAGAGTCCAGGAAGAATTTTCTCAGATGCTTAACTGGACTGCGTAGCCATCACTGGAATGTTAAATCAAGAACTATAAAACTTTTAATGTAATAGTTAATATTAACAAAAAACACTAATCCAGTGTTTAAATAAAGAGATGGGTGCCAGCGTGTCTTAAATTATCAATATAAAGTGAAAAAAATAAACTGTGTAAAAACAAAATGCCTTTTTAAACTTTACAACGGAATAACTTACTATAGTCTAAGCTTTAAATGAGCCTTAAACCATTAAAATTCTCCTTTGCAAATGTAAACTTGTTTTTTAATCAAGTTTAAGGCCTTAAAAAATCTGGAAGATTGGCTAAATCTTTGATGCACTTGAGAAAAATACCGAGTTCCTTATTGCTGTCGCGATAAACCATGATATTCCTCCGCCGCTTCCTATATTATACAATGGGAGGAGAGACGAACAACGACTCGGGCGGAGTGATTTAGTCAGGACTACACCCAAGCGCCTGTCCGGTTGCAGCGGCTCCTTTTCGTTGCCTAGACCAGAAGAAAGCCAGGACGTAACGGTGCCGGGGGGGTTTTGCTTGCTGGAGGCCCGTGTAACCACCGATAAATACAGCTTTCTCACAGTTTCTTCGTCGTTCAAGAGGCGATCGTGACTTAGCTTACTTTTTTCACCTTAAAACTAATTTCACAAACATGTCCTGGCAAAGCTACGTGGACAACCTGATGGCCGATGGCAGCTGCCAGGACGCGGCCATTGTTGGGTATGCGGACGCCAAATATGTCTGGGCATCTTTTGTCGGCGGTACCTTTGCCAACATAACGGTACGTATGTGCTGTACGTCGGTATTCCTAGTTGTGTATGAGCATAATGCACATTTTTGCATGTCGCTTATATGTTTGTCTGCATGCCAGGCCTTGTTGAATGGGGGATAAGCGAAGCAGTGTGGGTACACATGGTATCCGGTGGTCACACATAGGATCCACTGGCATGTGTGCGCCGTTGCTTTTCAACCTGTCGCCTGCAATTGCCACCTTTCTTTTCCCGCTTTTATTGTACGTCTACTATCTTAACGCTTGAGCCATTTCCCCTTTTAAAATAACTGTGCAGCACCGAAGAGCTCAAGCTAGAGATCATCGTTGCCGCGAACTCGCGCTAAAGCGGCTAACTTGGCTGCTAACAGTAACTAGCCGCATTGGAAAAGCTACAGTAATATAAGAAAATTAAACGGCAGTCCTATAAAACTATTGTATCCTGAATTAGTCATTCGCATGTTTAAAAACTGCTTAGTAGTTTCGGCTACCATAAGCTTTTCCATGCAGACTAAGTCAGCGTTAGCAGTGATTAGCGAACTACACGGTTAGCTCAAATCGGGCCGGTCATCTCCCTCCCCACCACCATCATCCTCAGTCATTACTAGCTAACGCTAACGGCGCAGGGTTGGCGGCGCTCGCACGCATTCCTTACGTGCTGGCGTTCCGTTGGTACTTTTCAATTTTCCTATTCGGCTTCTGTGAATCTCTCCACCGCTACCGCCCATCATTTTTCCAAGATGGCGGACACGCTCCCAGTTTCTTATTCATTTTTGTCCATGGGAGCTAACCGAGACGTCTGGGCTCGGATCTCGTTTTTTTTCTCATTAGCATGCCACCCCGTGTTATGGACAGCATGCGTCGGATGCTCCTATTTTACAACAAATAAAACTCAGTCGACTGAAAGTAAAGCTAACTTGTTTAACAGACACATTCGGGGTTTTCCTTCATCCTCCATTTTGTCCGTTAAATTTATTTTGCCAGTCATCTACGTTTTTATTCGGGACTCCTCCGGTTCCAACGTTAATATAACGAAGGTTTAGCAGTTCTAGCTGGCTATTATAAAATGAAAACCCCGCTCATGTGGCGGGGACTGTTGTTTCGTTATCTGAGGTTAACTGGGAGTGCCCACTCGGAGCTAAGGAACGGCAGCGTTTTTCCTTTTGAAATACAGCAGTTTCCTTAATGGACTTTTTAGCGTGTAATAGAAGCCTGCTTTTACCGGCTGTCAACCAGCATGCCCGGTGGTTACATTTGGTAAAAGGAATCCCCTTTTAATGAATACAGAAGGTTTTCAGGGGATCTGAAGTCGTTTTCATGTGGGGATGGCGGCTTTTCATTCCCGGTTGAAGTGACAAAATTAGCAACCCAGGCCTGGGCTTGTAGGTAGCCGCCATGCTATCGTTATCGTACGACGTGCTTTGAGTTTGCCGTTTTCCCTTCCTGACCGTGTGCCATGACTCTGCACTTCTGGACTCAAGGGGCAACGCCTTTTGTTCTGCAGTTCGCTCCAAATAAAGTAGTTTGAGCAAGAAAATGTATATATATTTTTTTTACCTTACTGAGTTTCAAAGAAGACAAATAAGTTGTCCCCAAAAGTGAAATATTAGCAGCTTAACGTTTTCGTTATTGCGGCATGGTCGAGATTTCAGGACTTCTCCACCGGTAGCATAAAGGAGACTCTTTGAAACAGACCATGTGCTTTCATCTGCCCCGGGCTGGATGGTCTCTGTGTCAGTCTAAACACTGCCCTCTGTGCTAAGATGACTAATAAAAACCATTACACACTTTAAATAAATAAAAAAAACCCTTTCAACAAGACTTAATCTTTTAATACGCATCTCTTTTAGAGAGAAATGTTATTTAAACATCAATAATACAGTGTGGTTTGAAATTTGTTGACTGGGGTCGAGGGGGGGGGGAAAGGGCAATCTATCAAAGATGGAAACTATGACCTCATACATTTTTAATGACTGAATTGTAAGCCATATTAATTAAAATATCCCATTGGTATATTTTGGGCCTCTTGCAGAGTAATCTGTCGAACCAAATACTTCATGATAAGGGAAATTTGGCCTGGAGGTCTTCTGTAAAATACATTTTTATGTTGGTGCCTTAAATGGGTCCTGGTGCAGAACAAACTCTTAAGATGTACAGATTAGTTTAGGATATACTTCCTTTTAGATGTTGAAACCCCCATTAACTAGTCCAGCCAGCTCTGGACATCATGTGCATAAATTCAGTCATAGTTGAATGTTGTGCAGTAGTGGCAATAAATACTAATTCTACCCTCTTGTAATTTAAAAGCTGCAGATTAAACATGAATGCAAGCTCTGGGCACAAGGATTTCACAGACTAGAGTTGTGCACACTTGTGCATCTATCATTAGAACTATTTTACTACAATAAATTCCAAATTATTTCAGTATGTTTCTCAATTTATATATTAAGCAATGATGTTTTTGTTGTGGAGGGACAGCAGATTCTGAGCTGAGAGGAGGCTGGGCAATTAAACTTGAGGATGGAGCAGTTGTGAAATCTGGGCTGGTGCTGATGTGATGATCGTCTTGTGCCAGGGAAACACAGGAAATGAGTAACTTGGATTTCTTGCACCAATTTTTAAAACTGCCATCAAAATTTGATCGAAGACAACAGATTAACACTGGACAATGCAGCCATCAGCCAAATAATTTGAAACACTGGTGTCTGCTCAGGCTTTCACTGTGTGTGTGTGTGTGTGTGTGTGTACCTAATTAAGTTAACTTGCTCAATCTTGAGGCTTCACAGCACCCACATTATGGAGCAATACATGTGTTTAAATTGTGTTTGTGGAGAAACCCTCAAGTGTCTCCACATAAGCAATATTCTGCATTGATCTTAACAAGGATGTACCTGACCTCCTGATCTCTGTGCTTCCTCCTAGCTTGAAGAAATTGATGTGTTAGTAGGAAAGGACCGAGAGGGATTCTTCACCAGTGGGCTGACCTTGGGCAATAAAAAGTGCTCCGTAATCAGAGACAGCCTCCAAATTGACAACGACTGGACAATGGACATCCGAACAAAGAGTCAAGGAGGAGAGCCCACATACAATGTTTCTGTAGGCAGAGCAGCCAAAGGTAAGCATCAGGTATACTGCTGTTAGCAGCATAAATCTTGAGTAGTTACACAGTAACCTGCTTTGAGTTTGACCATTTTAGTTTAGCTGTTTATTTTTGCTTTTAAAACGATATTATTGTCTTGTGCAAGCATGTGGGGTAGATGTTGACTGCACCTTTCCTCAATATATGACAGATGGGTGTAAAATGTCTGGATATTACTTTCAGTGACGGTCGATAACGGGCCGCAGTTGCTTCCATGTAGAAATGCATATTCAGGTTGTTTGAGCTCAGGAAGTTCATATTCAGAGATTATTGCTATGACTATTATCCAAGAATGAGTTTATTTCCCCGCTATAGTTGTATTGCAGTTTAATTGGTATGGTTTACCTTTAACACTTTAAGACTAAGCAGCTTACAAATGAGAAAATCATAATCAGTTATGGTTTAGTAAAGTGTATGTTTACCTTTTTTGATATGTGAATTTAATCATTTTGCCTCCAGTTTATTCAGAACTTCTTACAGCTGCCAAAAATCGGAACAATTAAAGGGTATCATTTCTTTGTGGAAATGGTTATAAACTAGATCAATTCTTAAGCTTCAGCCTTAAATGTGTGACCATCAGTAGGTTAAATTTAAAGGCTTTTTAAAATGTATTTCTTGTCATGGGTCACAACCTTGATAATATTTCAGTAAGCCAAAGTTGAGTCTTTAAGGACTTGCCTGAGAGTTGTCAGTTTTCATGTTGCCTGTGTGGGCCCCGATGTCCTGTCCTGCCCAGTTCATGCCACAAGGTACGCTAGCTAACAGAGACTGCATCAGCAGTTTCTGGGCTCACTTTTGGGATCAGGATTTCTGGGAAATCCTTTCTGGAATGCATGCATCTTCCTCCTTTCTGGTTTAACACCCCCCCTCCCTTTCCTTCAAATTCACAACCTGTTTTTCCCACTCGCTTCCACTCTGTCCTAGTACTTGAGGCACATGAGGGTTTTTTTTTTTTTAAACACATGTATTGAGGAGAGGTATGCCAAGCATGCTGCTGCATTAGTGATGGTTAATAGTTCCTAACTTCACTTTCTTGTTCTTTGCTGCTGTCATGGCGCATAATGACACATTAAACAGACTGATAGGAGCAGAAACAGCCATGAAATGCTAGGCTTTGTGTGCCCCACCCTCTTGGCCAAACAGCAGGTATTATTTGGATATTTTACTCATGTAACTAAAATGGACATAAGCTACTCTTGCAGCCATTTGACCTGGTAAACAAAGACTGACTCCCATCAGTGGCTAAAACACTGACTAGATTTTCCATGCAGTGCATCAGAAAAAGTTTCCCAAAGAAGTTTGGAAGATAAACTTCAGCCTCTCTGCATTGAATTTGTTCATCACTGTAAAGGGACTTTGGACTAGTTTCAGAGTTCTGTGGTCTACGTTTAGCAGTTTAAAGTGTAGTAAAGCCTTGATCTGGCTTTTAGCTCCTGTTAAACCACAGCATGCTGGGAGAGCAGTGTCCTCTTAATAGTTTCTAAAATAATACACGATGCATTGAGTCTTTGTGGCAGTTTGCTATTGCAGTGGACTCTGTGCTAACTCCAGCTCTGTGCCTCTGCTTGTTTGGGCATCACAGATCTGACGACAAGGCTTTGCATGCATCCTTCACGTTTATTTTCCTGTTGCACTTACTGTCTTCCTAACTGTAACGTGACCTGTCGCCACCAGCAGCACCGATAAGAAAATGAATGTTGGAGCTCTGCACAGCCTTCAGAGTTGAAGGCACCGCTCTGCTTTCTGTGCCATTGTCTTCCTTTTGTAGCCGTCTCGTCTGCCTTTGCCGCTTTAGCTCTGTGCTCTTCTTCTTTTCATTGTGTGATCTCCGCACCTTCTCTAAATGTCCCTTCTCTGTCTCTTTTCTTTCAGTCTTGGTCTTGGTAATGGGCAAAGAAGGGGTCCATGGAGGCGGATTGAATAAGAAGGCATACTCGATGGCAAAATACTTGAGGGATTCAGGGTTTTAGTTTAGTTTTGATGTAGCTTATGCAGTGTAGGGTTAAAAAAAACAAATAAAAAAAACAAAAAAAAACAAAGGAAAATTAAAAAAAAAAAAGCATAAAATTTTTGGGGAAAAAACAAAGCAAAAAAAAAAATCTGTTCTATCTAATGTTGAGCCCATGTTTCCCCCTCGCGTCCCCGAACGGTCCCGTTTAAACAACCCCAGGAGCATTTCTAAACGGCACAGGGTTCGAGCTCTGTCCCCATATTTGGCCGAGATGGCATTGAGTGTTATTCTTTTTCCAGCCCTGCAATCAACATGCCTGTTCATTTTATTTTGTTTCTTTTCCTTTGTGTACTCCAGCATTGGTTATTGTCATGGGGAAGGAAGGTGTCCATGGAGGGCAGCTCAACAAGAAAGCATTTCAGATGTCTGAGTACCTGAGGAAGTCCGGATACTAAAGCAGCCTGTACCCAGCTACCTAGCAGCTCACCCTTACCACCCTGTTGCATTTCACACTACTTCCAGTCCTAGTTTGTAGTTTTTGTTTTTCTGCCTTCTCTTCTCCCCATTTGTTATCTGTCTTTGCTGTGTGGGTTTTTTCTTTTTCTTTTTTTTTTTTT